TATACTACACACACACGACACATATATATATATATATATATATATATATATATAGGTAGATACATACACACATATTTATATCAGATATAATACATGTTTTCATATACATTTTCTCATCTATCCCCTGCCCATCTCACAGTGGAGTACCTCCGTCTCTGTGTTGTCCAACATCAGCTGCACCATTGCCAACCTAGCCAGTGTAACCAGCGACAGCAGTCGTCTGCTTATTCCTGGTACGACTGCTGGCGTGCTGTGTGTGATTGCTAACACACACGAAGACTCATACGAGATACAACGCCACTGTGGGAGGGGCCTGGGCAATCTGTCGGTCGTACCGACGAATGCGTTGCGCTTGCTGCCGTACCTGGGGACTACTATTGTTAGGTAACTGTGTGTGTTGAGTGTGTATTGGTGTATGTATGAACATCTGCACAGCTATTTATGTACGTCTTGTGCTATTATTAATATAAAGGGGTCTACTTTTATGAGGAAGGTGTATGTGTTAGGTAAGTATTGGTGTATGTATGAACATCTGCAAAGCTGTATATGTACGTCTTGTGCTCATATAAAGGGGTCTACTATTGTGAGGTAACTCTGTGTGTTGAGTGTGTATTGGTGTATGTACGAACATCTGCACAGCTGTATATGTACTTCCGTTTTTGCGTCGTGGTGTCTGTATGGATATCTGGTCATTGGTATGTGCTGTGTGTATGTGCCTTGGTCGTAATCAAACGACACTGCGGGAGGGGCCTTGGCAAACCATTGGCCGTGCAGAGGGGCGTGTGTTAGTTATGTGTTGGTGTATGTATGAACATCTATTTAGTTGTACATGTACTTCTTCTATGAATGTAGTGGGGTCTACTATTAAAAGGAAGGGGTACGTATTAGTCATGTGTTAACTTATGTATGGACATCTATATAGGTGTATATGTACTTCTTCTGTGAACGTTTTAAAGAGTCTTGCTCGTAGTACAGTACATGTGTGTATGCTAACTATCAGTACAATGCTAGCTGTAAGTACACATAACTACTTAACTTAAAACCCTAAAATCTAAAACATCGCCATTGCAGGATGCTGCACTCGTCCAACGTCACAGTTCGCAGCCACGCGCTCAGAGTGATGGACAACTTAACAGTCGTAACCATGGCAACGCCAACACGGCAGCAGGTAGCCGAGCTAATCAAAGAGGATCCACAATGCCAACCTATAGGTGTGTGTGCTTTCGGTGTATGTTCACGTGTGGTTGGTGTGTGTGTGTTTTCAGTGTATGTTCACATGTGGTTGGTGTGTGTGTTTTCAATGTACGTTTACATGTGGTTGGTGTGTATGCTTAGTGCATGTGCGTATGATAAGTGGCTCGAGTGACAGTACATGAGAGTGTGTGACACTGTGCGTGCATCGCCATAGTACGTTGAATTTCAAATACATTTGGAGATACATAGTATCGACGGTTGTGTATATAGACATGTACGTATTATCACGGACTATGAGTTGTGTATATAGAGATGTATGTATTATCACATACTATGAGTTGTGTATATAGACATGTACGAATTATCATGGACTATGAGTTGTGTATATAGACATGTACGTATTATCACGTACTATGAGTTGTGTATGTAGTCATATACATATTACACGTACTATGGATTCTTATTATAGTTATATATATTAGACGTACTATGGATTGTGTATATAGACATATATATATTTACGCCATAGAGATTCATGAGTTATCTAGATGGCTCCCGTTTGCACAAGTGTATCTCTATGGAGCTAAAAATCATACCCACATTGCCTATTCCACGTGTCTGCATGTGTGCACATACACAGGCACATTGAACTAAAGCCTATTCCGCGTGTCTGCATGTGTACACATACACTGGCACATTGAACTAAAGCCTATTACGCGTGTCTGTATGTGTACACATACACAGGCACATTGAACTAAAGTCTATTCCACGTGTCTGCATGTATTCACATACACAGGCACAAGGCTTCAGCTGCTGGTAGACCAAATGGGCGACAACAGGACGGGCCGTATCGCCACCACTATCGTCGAACGACTACAGAGCATCGACACCACCACACCCCACACAGCCTATGGCACTAACAGTGCAACAGACACATCTCATGACACCAGCAGTATACTAGACACCGCAGCAGAGGACCAGGAGTGGATGAGAACGCCATGACGGGAATGAACGCGTTATGACGAGAATAAACGCGTTACGATGTGAATAAACGCGTTGTGATGTGAATAAACGTGTGAATAAACGCGTTATGATGGGAATATACGTGGCTATACTCACTGAGTTGAAGTCCGTTTGTTTTGTCTTGCCATGCGGCATATCCATGACCTGAATATGAAATCTACCGGAGCGAACGGGGTGGTAGAACACATACCTACAACCACACTACTGTCCCTCACCACGGAGCAATGAGTCTATCATATAAAGCCATTTGCGCATGACAGTTAGTTCATGACAGGACCTTCTGTGGTTAGGGTTTAGTGCACCCAAGTGTCCGTTGATCCACCACATAGGCCAATAGTCTGCCAACAAACGATCCACGCCTAAATGAACCACGCTTGAAGCACACGGTGGTGTGCTATTGACGATACAGTCCAGCGGTCACGTGACGACCTGCGCAAGAGGCGAGCCGACAGCTGCCAGAGGCTTGGCTGCTTTGTTTTAAGGTTTTAGTTCATGATTGTCACAAATAAAATCTTATACACCCATGTATGTTATATTCTAGTCCATAATTATCACAAACATAGTCTTATCTCCCGTGTATCTTGATTTCTAGTCCATAATTATCACAAATATAGTCTTACACTCCCATGTATCTTAATTTCTAGTCCATAATTAGCACAAGCATCACCTTTTACTTCCATGTTTTTCCCAGTGTAAGAGCTCGTTCATCTTACATTCTATTGGTTTGTTATGAGATGCAGTTCGGCACATTTTCGGCCCTCGTATGCACCATGTTGTATTGGCATTGCACCTTCAGATTAAGATTCTCCCTGCAGACCACCGATCCCTCGGCAGACAGGGTTTTAAGGTTTTTGGATTTTAGGGTGTCAGAGCATCAGACAGCTTGGGCTGAGTCTCTCGTCCCGTTTTATAGTGTACTGGGCCCTTGAGATGCATACAACCACGTGCGCTAAATAACATCATAATATATATAGATATATTACATCACCGCATATTTTCTTACGGGGCAGGTGAAGTGAGTGTTGTTAGTTCAAGCGGATGTGTCTGCTTGAAGATGCTACATACAGGACGACCTCGCGTGCTACTGCCCATCACTGTATGAGATCGCTGGCTTAGTCCACGACACCTTGTGTCCACTCCAGATCGTACCAACAGAGCCGTACGACCACGTGAGCATCTATCCGACATCGTACGACCACGGATATGCCTACCAGACGTCTGTTCCCATCAGACATCATACGACAACAGACATTCCCACCACGTGCTTTTGAAATAAACGTCGTACGACACTATTCATTCCTTCCAGACATCGTACGACCACGTGTATACTTATCAGAATGTCTTCCTTCTTATCGTACGACCGCGTGCATTCCTATTAGGCGTCGCACGACCACGTACTCTCCTACCAGACATCGTACGACCACGTGCTCTCCTATCAGACATCGTACGACCACGTACTCTCCTATCAGACATCGTACGACCACGTACTCTCCTATCAGACATCGTACGACCACGTACTCTCCTATCAGACATCGTACGACCACGTACTCTCCTAACAGACATTGTACGACCACGTACTCTCCTATCAGACATCGTACGACAA